TGGTTAAAATACCTAGACTGTGGTCCTGTGAGAAGCCAAACACCTCCTGGGAACTGCAGAGCAAATTTAGAGCACTTGGCACTCCACCGAATCAGCTCCCAACTTAACAAGGGTAAGGAAGGAACTGATGGAGGTTATCAAACTAAAAAGTGGTAATCACAAAAAATGGCAAAAAAAAGTTCAAAAGCACAGTGAAAGAAAATTCTCCAGCATGCAGAAAAACAGCAGAATTTTTTTTTTTTAATAAAGAAAAGCAACAGCTAGATTTCTTTGTAACATTGCCAGCATTTTTAGTTCTTTTCCCCCCAAAAAATGAGTAGGCAAGTTTGTGTTACATTCTTCAGAATATAAAGGAAGTTATTTTCACCCTTGGATGAAACATTAAAACCTCTGAAGGCTTCACTCATTCACAGATGGGAAATGGAAAGCCTTCCTATCATATATTTTGGAGACAATATCCTTTTTTCTGGAAATGCTGATAAGGAACAAATTCAAACTGGTCCTCATCCGCCTGGATCATCTTATTTATTAAAAACAATGGTATCTTTTAAACCCTGTATACTAAGCTATCGGTCAATTTTGATTGACACAAATATTTGTATTAAAGGTTACATACTGCAATTTACAACTGGGTACTATCACAATACTGTATGTTAATGTAATCAGTATTTTCATTTCATGAATTCATTTGCAGCATGACACTGCAAGGGTATTCTTACATATACTGAAGACACAATTGCTAAGTAGTTCAACAATTCTCCTTTAAGTGGGATTTTTTTTATCTGATAAATTTTTAACACAATAAAACCACTCCTAGTTCTGTGTGCATGTTTTAATTTCCCACCTTTTCAAGTGTTTAGACACTTGGAATACCTAGCATACTGAATTAATCCACAAATATTTACAAGAAAAATCTATTTAATTTCTTTCTATAGTAACTACCACAGGGACTATTGTAATGAAAAATTTCCCATCTTAAAGAATTAATGCAATTACTGATATAGAGAAAAAACGTAATTTATATCATCACAAACACGTAAAAGATATAATCCCATATTCACAAAAAGAATCTTTATTCCCTCTTTGAATTCTGAGACAATACAGTCTTGCCTTGAGGAGAACAGGAATATTATGAAGTACCTTAAGCAAGATAATTGTAAGAGAAAAAACTACAATTGCATTATTGTTGTGCTAAACTGTGACATACTTAAAAAGCTAATTTCTTTTATTATAATGGAATTTGGTGTGCATATCCTTTAATCTACTTCACTATTCCTTCACATTTTTACACACAAACATATGTGTAAAGTGTTTCCCATTATCTGTACTACCTGGTTTAACAACTACAACAAATTTAAAACAATTAAAAATATACTTGGCAATTCCATAAACTTCGCTAGATTTTTTTTTTTTAACAGTTTTGGAACTAGCTGAACATCTAGGATGTCACAAAAATGTGCAGCAAATGAAAGATCTGCTGCAACTCAAATACTATTCAAGAAGACATGATCAGTATTTTATGAAAAAGTAACATTTGACATGAGTGACTGTCCCAAATTTTACCGAATAGATTTCAACCAATCACAATGCTGAACAGTTTGCATCTAAATCAAAAGCTAAGCAAACAAAAATGTATCCCAAAAATAGGGCTTTCTACAGCTATGTCAGTTAAAGTACATTTACTTTTAATATTCTCTACAGTCACCCTTCAATTATTCCTTTCAAGTAAATAAATTTTAACCAAGAAATTAATCTGCCATAGCGGGGCTTTTCTCTATTCCACAGAAGCAAACATTTTTTCACTTGTTCCCTTTAAAAAGCAGATTTAACAAAACTACTAAGACAAAAAGGATGACCTAATTAGTACTAAGTAATATTTAAAGCTTTTATATATAGTACACTCTTACTGCTATCTCTAACTTCTAAGCCTTTATACTCACTGATATTGTTTATCTGACACTATTACTGCTTAAGCATGCAAATTCGTATTGTCCATTCTTGTATGCACCCAACATACACAGAAGGAATCAAATTGTAAAGAAAATTTTCTGTGAACCTTGATCAAATTAACTGTTAGGGCAGTGGTGTCCTCAAAGGCAAACAGGGACACCCCTGGTGACCAGAGGTCTTCAACGGGCAGACCCACGCAAAACTAGTCAAAGGGAATAAAGAAAACTCCCCAGAACCAGCAAGAAACAACACTCATGAGTGAGTGAGTTACAGGAATCTCTTACCCTTTTCTACCTAAGAGCCAGCCCCACTAGAAAACTTAAACCCTGAACAGATGCTCTCCCACTCGTCACCACTCAGGAGAGTGGGACACAAGATATGGTAAGCAATGAAAATGTGTGTCTTGTATTTATTTCCTTATAACCCTTAATTTCTGTTAAAGCACTGAATTGTTAGTGCTATACTAATTAAGTTCATTCCAGTTATCTGAACAGATTTGACCAGCTAGTTATGAAAAAATACCCATCTAAATTAAATAGAGTAATATTGGATAAAAAAATGTAGGTCAGTGAAGAAACAAACCATCAACAAATATTGTCAGCTTTCTGTTCGAAAAGCACTTTCAGCATGAGCCTTTCTTTGCTCTGTTCAAACCCCAATTCCTATATACCAAAGCCTTTAAGAGCACACTGACCTTAAGCACGTGCTTAAAAAAAGCTTTGCTGTGTTAGGACCTTCCGACTGGCACACAGGACATTCAGGACTGCTTGCAATGTAATAATCCCCTGCTGTAAGAATGCCCTTTTTTCCAGTGTGTGTGACCTACTCACAAAATTTATGTCCAAACCAAAAAGATTATGTACTAAAAAATCAAATCACATTGTGTCAGTGTAATGATAATGCCAATATACATCACCCTGTAAACTGTGAAGCCCCTATGCTCGCAAAATGCCAGTGAAATCAGAAGTCATAACTATGAAAATAACTACAGTGCAATACACAAAAGAGACTTTAAACTAATACTTGTGAAACATCAGTCTTTCACATTTGTGCCACAAGTGGCCAATTCACATTATATAGCAATGGCCTACAGGTCTTTCATGTACATAACTTTGTTTTTAATTAGAACAAACAAAATCTCCAGTATTCTCCTCTAAGTTGCTCTCATTTAGTGTGGAAATGGTTGAAAATGTTTAAGTCAGTTGTATTTTTTAAAGGAGAAAAGTATACCTATGAAAGAAATTTTTTTTTTTCAGAATCATATGTACTAATACGGTTTTCATAATCCAAAACTGAAAATAGTCCTTTAAGTAAAAAGTTTTTAGTTAATATCAGTGTTTTGGAGCCTCCCACTGGCAGCCATCACACAGCTGAAGTGAACTATCAGCTGAATGGAGGGTTTATATCCAGGCATCAATGACTATTTTGCTTTAAAAGAAATCAGTATTTCTGAGCTCGTATTTTAAATGCAATTTAAAAGATCATAAAGGAAAGAATCCAGCATTTATTGTGTGTCTCCCAGCAGACTACTTAATGTTCAAACATCTACTATGCAAAGGTCAAATGATTTCACTGAATGTAATGGTGACAAAAATATTCTGCAGCACTGAAAAAAATATCAGATGATCAAGGAAAAAGCTATGGACCTGAGCTCTTGCAAGAGTCACAATAAATAATGTAGATTCAGTTCAGTAAGAAAGAAAATTGCAAAGTTGTGTCAGTAGAACTAGATTAAGAAAGATAATAGGTAAAATACAAATTACATACTTTTGGTAATGTTCTTCATAAAGGAATATTTTAAAGTAATACAGCAAATGAATTTTTACAAAAAAACTTTTCTTACACAAATATTGCTTGCACAGAATTGAAAAAAAAATGTATTCAGATGGGGAACCTCTGAGATATTCTGCTGCAGGCAGCAACATGGATAGCTGAACTTAAAAATCCAATGTAAATAGCGCTAGTTGTAACATACACAGGGTAAAGCTGCAGTGAGCACTTTCAGGAATGAGAAAGATTATAGGTAAAACCAGTACGAAAAAAATACACTCAAACGCTTATCTGAAGCAAACAGCGAAGGCTAATAGGTACCAATTTATTTCCCATTTTATTGTGCTTTTCCTTCCTTGACATTTACATCAAATATTTTAGGCTCTCATTCTTTCTAACACAAAGAGGTTCCAAAGTGCACCGTGCACACCACTTGCTGGCAGTCCTGGCTCTTCAAAGCCAAGATCCCACCACCAACTAAAAAGAGCTGGAAACAAAACCAGGAATTGCCTATCTGCCTGTGATCTACTGCTACGTAAGATTAATTTGGTGGTCACCAATGGCACTTGATCTGGGGAGATCCAGTGGATCTCTTCGCATAAATGGATAGGAACGTCGAGGGCAGGAGGCAGATATGCAGCTGAGCGGCAAGTGAGAAAAAAACCAAACAAGCAGAAGTAAAGCATGTATAGAGGGAGAAAAAAGCTAGAAAATTATATGAACAAAGGGAACAAAAAAAAGAAAAAACAAAACAGAGGACAAGTGAAAAAACAAAACAGAGGACAAGTCAGCAAAGAAGTAAGAGAAGAGACAAGGAAACAGAAAATAGGGAATAAGGTAACTAAGAGCAAATGTACAACATGATGTTCACTTTCTGGAAAAGAATACAGCATTTCTCACATTAAAGAAAAGTGATAGGGGGTTTTAGTTTGTTTTGGTTTGGGATTTTTTTTTTACTTTTCTGTATAATAAACAAATAAGCACATCTTGACTGATCTTGTATTCTAACATTTAACATCAAAATCGGAATTTTGGTAACTTAAGCTGGTGTATCATTAAAAAAAAATAAAGCTCTGGCTAGATGTTTAAAAAAATTAGACATATCCAATAAAATACCAAGTAAAGATGGAAAATAAGGTGCTAAACTGATATTACATCTGAATAAAACTTCTGTTAGCTGGCTCACAAAAAAAAAGAATGGCGTAGATGGTACTAATACTATATATTAATACAAAGATACAGAATTTTGACTATTAGATTATGTTCAGAAACATACATACGTTTTTTTCTGTGCTCAACCAGCGCAACAGCCTGCTTTGCTGAGCATTTTGAAAACCAGTTGTCCCCAAGCAGAACAGTAACCTCATTGGTGTGGACAAGTTTTCCTGGCATGAAGGCAAGAGGACCAAAAGGTACCTGTCAAAGGCACATAAGAAACAGCTGAAAATCACTAGTGAAAATAACCTAGACAGTCATTCATGTCTTAAGTTTTTTTTAAAAAAAGTAAAACACAGAGTTAAAGAAATAAAAATTCTACAGCAGTTATTTAATGACTAACCCTTCACAAACATTCAAATGACCAGATCCATTTGAATTTAGTATCGTACTTACAAAATCAGAAAAGTGGTATTTAACTAGAAAACTTGTTTTGTGACATTAAACTATAGTATAGCTGAATGCTCACATGGAAAACAAATTCACTTAATCCTAACATGTAAGCCTTGATAATAAAAATATTATCATTTAGGTTGAGTTACATATCTGTTATACACAGATTACATTTAATTCCTAATAAAGCAAGTTTAGCTTTGCTAAAATTTTTAAAATACTTAAATAGGTATGGTCAACTTAAAGATGAGTTGCTTTTCTCAGTATCTGTATTGCTAGTAAGTACCCAGAAACCTCAGTGTAAGTTTGTGGGGCTACTAGCAGGATCGCAAGTGTCTTAATCTCACTGTGTTTCATCGTTCACCAGTATGCAGACTTCAACCTTCAGGCAGTGCTCCACCAAGCAATGCCCGTCTTCCAATGACCCTCCAGGCACAGGAACCAATACATAGAACCAGAATACTTCAGACAGGAGTACATCGGTAATAAACACGTTTTATAACTTTAAGAGGTGCTTCTTAAAACATGTAACCCCCCTTTTAACACGTATGACAATGTATGGGACATTATTCTTATGATTTAAGACACCTTCCACAGCCCACACTTTACAGACGGTGCTTGGGCAAGTCCTACCTCTGAGGAGCAGCCTGGCCACCCTAACTCCTGTCTCCTGCACCAGCCCCCTGCATTCTTACCCTCAGACCTACTGTAACCTGCCTGCCTGCCTTTGGGCTTCAATTGCAAAGAAATCAGGAGACCAAAATCAAACTAAAGTTAAAATGGAGGTGGCAAAAAGCTAAGAACCACATCCGTGTCAAGTTTTCTCTTTCTTAGGGTAAAAAGAGATCTGTCTCAGCCAGTTTGTATCAGTTCCTTCTACTTTATTCCTCTGCTGCTGCCTTCGTATCCTCAGGATAGCCACTTGCTTTCTCATCACATTTGTGCTGAAGCAGAGCACTCAGCCTGGTGGATCTGCTTCCTTGGAAAGCCATCTTCCATAGCTTCAGTATCCAGGAGGGGTACCAATGCTTGAAACAATTCTGCAGCAGGCAGGATCCTGACGTTAAGACTATGCAGAATGTGCTTTTCCTGCACATGTACCCTTCCTGACTTGGTTTTCAAGTAGCAGACTGCACCATTTGCCTGTTCACTCTTCCCCCAAAATGATGAAAGCAAAATTGAAAACATATGAAAATATTTGGCTAACAGGATAGGAACTATTTATATACATTTAAAATAGCAGATGTGAGTTGACATTGCTGCTTTAACTAAGAATACGCCCTACCTAGCTTTTTTAAAATAGTTTTTTCCTGTGCTTCGAAACAACATAATCTTTTTGCTTTACATCATGTGGCCACGCATATACACATGGTGATGGGACTACACACATAAAATCCAGAGCTGAATCACTAGCACAGGAAAGGGAAACACTCTCTTTTCCCACACGGTAAGTGTACTCCAATGCCGTCTCACTAACAACTCAACTCTATATGCTGAACCAGGCTGCCAAGGAAGAAAGTAGTCAGGCACTTTGTGCTGAAACTAGCCATTCAGTTATTTACAGTACAACTTCCCCCCCTTCAAAGATATATCTTGAATTGGACCTGAGAAGGGGGAAGGAAAAGAAGGAAGAGAGAAAAGCCAATTTGGTCAAAATTCTGGTGAGTGCAAGCCAACAGGGTAAAGTTAATCGAGGGAGATGTGCAGTTGTTAGGGAAGATTCAAAGCACCAGAAAAGATCACTATGTCAATATGAAGATCGGTGAAATAAAAATTAGCAGCACCTTTTTATGTAAAAATCAATGTTCTAGGGTTTATTTCCATGAATCAGGAAATACTATGGCCACTTTCTTCTCAGGAAATTACTAAGTACCGTAATTCAGTCATAATTATAGTTTTCTATACAATAGATTTACATATCAAACATGTCAGGTTTTGTGTTAGCATTTATGTCATCAGTTCTCAGTTGTCAGTAACGTTGTAATTTATAATGGATTTCAAAGAAAAGAGAAAGAAACAAAAGCAAAGGTTTAACTATTATCATAATAAATGCAACATTACTAAGTACTACGTGGCAACCTGAATAAAACCTCACCGCCAGTGCAAATACTTCAGTTACTAAAAATTTTAGCCTGTTTGCTTGTGTGAACTCTACCGCGTACGTACCATGATATCGTAGGACAGTTTATCGGGCAACGTACGGAGTCGTTCCTGAAGAGCCTCATAATCGCTCTCCACCTTCTTCCTGTTGACAAATTCAAGTTGATTCACTTTCATATCTAAAGTAAAGAGTTCATGTTTTTCTGCTAGTAATTCAACAACACACAAAAAATACAGAAAAATAAACTATTTTACTCTTAAACACATATAATAACTTATTTATAAAAGACTTGAGATGATAAACATAATAGCTAGATTATTTTAGAATAACGTGTATTAAAATAGGGACATGATTATTTTAGATCGTGCATGTCCCTCTCTGAATTTGAATTTATTACGGTGCAAAGAATCAGTTTTTTCACTAGGATTTGGCATAGCTCACTCCACGTTCAACTTCCAACAGTTATACCACCATCAATATTTAGAAAAACAACTGAAAATTCAGTTTATACTTTATAAGAGGCAAATTCTTCAAAGTATCACTTCTAATAAAGGGTTCATGACCTTGGTTTGAGCTGACATAAATGGGCAAAATTTTAATTAATTCTGATTTTCACATGAACTTTGTGTTCCTACCAAGAGTCAACACTCCTGAAAGATGGCTTGACCACCAGGATTCTGTCACATCTTCAATCCCTGACAAGGGACAATACAGGTGGGGAACAACCCTTCTGCTGCTTCTCTATCCAAAATGTAAATAAGGCTCATGCTCCATGTTGCTACCCAAGACAGAAATGGCTTGCTGAAGTTAGACAAATTATTCCCATGGTAGACACCTGGCTCTTCAGAGGACTTTGCAAGATACAGCGTTTCAATTGCTGCAGGGATTTTCCTTTGTGTGCAAAACAAGCAACTACACTCCCTCTAAAAAAGCCTTCTTTTGTGAAGACATGCTTAAATTCAGCTGGAAGAAGTCTTTTAATGGACCACTGCCATTCTGAAGATGGTCAGAAATCAGCTCCTGCCATGAAGTAGCTGGCATATAAATGTCAGGTTTGATGATATTGTTTACTTGTACTTCAAAATAGTAAACATATATATGTTGTAAACTCTGCAATAAAAGGCAACTGAAAGCACCGAGCAGCACACTTAACAACGCTGACCCAAGATGCAAATTACAGGTTTTCTGAGGATGATTCAGGAAAGCAATCTATAAATGTGCTGAAAAATGAATGTCATAGTTGATAACACAACTCTCAAAATATTAGCATTGATTTTCTTAGATTCATAAGCAGAGTGAAATCTTCTTCAGCATTCGTTATGAAAAATTATCTGATACTCCTGTGTTTTGACTCATTTGCTTCCCTAGTTGAACTTTGCTGTAATCACCCTACTTTATACCTGGAGTACTTCATATTTTAAATTGCTGAACTGGTCCTGAAAAAAGAAATTTAGGTTTTTATGCCACTTGGACATTAAAACCATATTCCATACAACTGATTTACAAAAGATGCTTGCTGCTGCTTTGGTTTGACAACAGATTTCTCCCGGACATTTTAGGCAAGTTTCTCTGTCCATTGCCCACATCAAAGTGAAAATATAATTCACTTCCTTCAAAGAGGAAGGACAAACTCATGAATCTTAACAAAATTCACTAAGATGTTTTGGTGTCAACAATAACAATCAATTACTTAATGATATCCAGCCTTTGCCTCACAGAGATCTGTATTTGAGAAATAGACACTGATGCACTCCAAATACTTGCTGAAAAACAAACACAATCCCCAAGCCGAAGGCCTTGCCCGTGTCTCAAATGCGAAGAGAAGACTCCATGGGAAGAGAATGGTATGAGAATCCCCCCACGCGCAGCAGGATTAAATGTTCCCATCGTTTCATGGCTGAAAGTCATTCAACATTTCTTCATTAATCTGAAAAGAAGATACTGCCTTTAAGGTCTGACTGCTGCCCGTTACTGAATAATCTGATTAGGATACACCAGAAACCACTTGCTACCAAAGCTATTTTGCTTTACAGAGCAAAGAACGTTTCTTTTTTCAGTGGGACTACTGCCCTTTAATGATCAAACCTCCACCATGGGAATCTCTAAAAGTGCGGCCACATCCTGGACCATCAAGATAAAGAAAATTAAAATCAATCCTTTTAATTAATTGGCCTGAAACACGGAAGGAAGCTGACCTCCCTCTTCACCTACAGCTGGTGGTCACACAAGCTCTGGGGCATGCCGGCACTATGCTCAGTGCCCATATGCAACGAAGAGTCAAAGTGAACAGGGAGGATGAATATCGGGACTCCAACTATGAACATGTCCCTAGAAGGGGAAATGCATGTCTAGATGTTTAATCCCATACCAGATCCATTACTGGATTCATGGCTTTAGAAATACACTTCAAGAAGTGTACTAAAAAATGAAAAAGAAAATAATTTAAAACCTTATTGTTATTCACCCAATTCTATTTAACATTCTTCTGCATCACTGACTACTTAAAAGGTCTTATATGAACAAATTACTCAGTTGAAACAAGAGCACTCAGCTCTTGCACAATCAAGATCTAAATAAGGGTACTAAATTTTAAATAATTTTTTATAAAGTAAAGATTGTATGGATGCTGTATAAACTGCCTTTCTACATAAAAGATATCAGTAAGTTAGGTTTTCCTTTTGACATTCTGGGCCCAAAACCCCCAAGTTCATGGGGCCATGGCCAGAGCTTGCATAAAAGCAAACACAGGAGCAGCTCCTCCTTCCACAGCCAACCCTCCCACCAGACTCCACAAAGCTCAGCCACTTGTGTAAGAGAAAATAAGTGTCACAACTTTCCAAACTTTTAAAAATCTGTTCGAATTTTAAGACTGTCAATTAGTTTATTT